TGGGGGGCCAGGTCAAGATCAGGGCTCAGGCTCGTTGGTTTGGCTGTCCCTGCCCCATCCCCCAGCACCAGGGCTGGCTTCAAGGGAGAGCCAGTGACTCAGGGCCCCAGCTTGGTTTCGTGGTCTGTGGTCACCGTCTTCAAATTCTTAACACATTTTGAACAAGGGAGCCCTAATTTTTCTTTTGCATAGGGCCCTGCAAAGCATGTGGCCAGTCCTGCCAGCATCCAGAACAAGGCCTGGCACCAGGCAATTGCTCAGTAAGTGCTGGTTGAATGAGTGAGGGGAACGTCACCTCTGTCCCACAGGCTTCCTCCTTCCTGATTTTCTATCAGCGTGGGGAACGGAAAACCAATCTTCGTCCAGGTCCCGAGTGGCCTACTCACTGGAGGGCTTCGTGTCCATGCAGATTCTCAGGGCACCAGATCCGCATCCAGAATCTCAGGGGGAGGCGTTTGAGTTTCTAACTCGAACCCCCAGTGATTCAGACTCACACGACATTGAGAACCAGCCGTGTGATTGCTTTGTTTTTTAAGGATTTTATTTATTTATTTGAGAGACAGAGGGAGCAAGAAAGAGAGAGAGAGAGAGTGAGAGTACGCACAAGTAGGGGGAGCAGCAGAGGGAGAGGGAGAAGCAGGCTCCCTGCTGAGCAGGGAGCTCCATGTGGGGCCCCATCCCAGGACCCCGAGATCATGACCTAGTCATGTGATTGATTGTTTTGAAGGCAACCTGCCTCTCTCTGCCTCCTTTTCTAGCTGTGTGATCTTGGGCAGGTTGCCGAACCTCTCTGAACGTCCTAAAATGGGCAAGCCCTACCAGGCCAGTTGTCCGGGAATAAGCCCCTTCCTTTCCTCACTGGGGGCAGGCGTCCTTGTCTATCTCACCTGTTGTGGGTCCCCAACACGCAGCCTCGGGGTGGGGGGTGGGCAGGCACGCAGAGGGCTCGGGAAACAGGTCCTGCGGGTGCAGACAGGAAGGAGAGTGAGCCCCAGCTCGCAGGGCTGCATGAGGGCGGCCAGAGGGTTTGTCAGCATAGGCTGGGCACCCAGTAGGTGCCACATAAATGCTCTTACTGGCCTCACACCCTCCTCCTGGGGCTGTGGCAGCAGGCGAGCCCTGCTGGGGGTGGAGGACTGCGGGCTGGAGGCTGCAGCAGGAGGGGAGGAAGGCAGGGGCCGGGAGGATGGAGTCCAGACACGTCCTGATACCAATTAAGGCAGCTCTGGTGCAGGGGGGCTCGGTCGGCATTTATCAGCCTGCCTGGGAGGGGCTGACAAGCTGTCCTCGGGCTGACGGATTAGACAGCGGACAATTAGGTTTCAGGCAGGCGCTCTGTCTCTCTCTCTCTCTCTCTCTCACACACACACACACACACACACACACACACACACATCCCTCTCTCCATCACGCGACAGAGCCCAGCTGGGTCCCTGCCCAGCCCCAGTGATAGGGCCAAACAGACCCAGAGCTCCCACCCCAAGGAAGTAAGGAATGTCCCTCAAAGAGAATAACCAGAGACCCCCCTGCAGCCCTCCACCCATGAGGACCATGACTCAAGACCCCACATTCTCCACCCCAAGCATCGCTTCCAACTGGATCAGGAGAAACAGCCTCTCTCCTTCCTGAATCGGAGCCTTTGACCCACGCGTCCCAATGGAAGGAATGTGTGAGCAAGGAAGGGCACTTGGAAGGACTCGGGAAACCCAGAGGAAAAGTCTTCAAGATTCTAGAATGTTTTATGTTGCAGACGCTCTGGGATGAGTCAGAAACACTAGAAGGGATGAATGACATAAATTTTCCTTTGAGAAAGGCAGAATCTGGCAGGACCCTCGGGCTGCTCCCCCAACCACCCCCACGGCCGCAGGCTCCGCCTCCGCCCTGGTCTTGGATGCTTCCCACGAAGATTGTCTCCTGCACCTGACCCTGGACAAGCTCAAGCTGAGCTCATCAATGTCCCTAGGCTCTCCATGCCAGCAAATGGCATCGTTGTCACCCCAAGGCCTGGTCTAGAAATCCGGGGTCAGCCTCACCCCCAACCCTCCCAGCTATAATCCTCACACCTGTCCCTTCACCTCCTAGAGCATTCTCAGATCCACCCTCTTCTCCTCTCTCAGTCCCATGGCCGCCAGCCTGACCCAAGCCACCATCCCTTGCCTGGATACTCCATCAGCCCTGCCTTGGGTCTTTCCTCCTACTGCATCTGGCGCTAGGAGTCGTGGAAAAGGCTCTCCACTCATGCAGCTCTCTGCTCCAGCCTCCGCGGCTCCCACCAACCCTGGGAGAAAGTCCCAGCTCCGGGCTGCCACTGTATCTTCCTCTCCCCACCTCCCCAGTTCAGTGGCTTCACTCACTCTTCCTCTCTGTGATGATCTCGTTTATTTATTTGATTACTTGGTTGATGTTTGCTCTTCTCCATCCAGCACTGGGATGTAATGGGGTGGGGGAGTGTCAAGGACCAGCTTTTTTTGTTCACCTTTGTCAGCACCGGCACCCAGAGGGACTCATGACCATGACCATGACCCACATCGTCTCCTGAGGGCCACACTTGCCTCACACCCCCTCTGCCTGGAATGCACCCCACTCACATGCCTCCCTCCAGCCACCAGCCTCAGTTTGGATGTCACTTCTTCCCGAAGCCTCCTGACTCTCCAGCTGGGTCAGCCCCCCCACCTCCGTTGATCCCAGCCCCGATGACCCCCGAGTCTAGGTGGCCAGTTCACTTGTCTGCCTCTCCCCCACCCCCATGGGGGGCGTTCCTGGAGGCTGTCTCATTCTCAGTGTCTGGCACACAGTAAGTGCTCAATTAGTGTGCTCAATTCTCACCAGTGAATGAGCGCAGAATGCCGGCTCTCTTCCCAGCAGAGTCCCTGCCTTCCTCTGGCCTGGGCTCCCCTCTGCCCCCGGGGCGCCGAGGGTCCGCGGGCCAGAGTGCACATGACCAGGCACCAGGCTGAGTGACACAGACAGAAATTGCTCTGGGGACACCTGTCACTGGGGACTCTGCCTTGGAAAGGGGGCAAAGGCTTCTGGGAGAACTGAGCTTCGAAGGACAAGTTGGGGAGGAAAAGGAGAGAATATGAACTTTATTCATCCCAAACTGCTCCTGGCCACCATGCTGGGCCCTTGACACGGGTCTGCTTGTTTATTTCTTGTTACAACCTTTGGAACAATAGCTTTGCTCCCCATTCTCAGGAGGCTCGTGAAGAGATGTGAAGTCACGTGCCCAGGACCACACAGCTGCACGTGGCCGATCCAAATCAAGGCCAGGTGTGGCGGGTGCCAGGGGCCCCGTGCTTGCTGCCTCTAGCGTGCCAGGGACCGCTGTGCCACCGTCTGCCCCCGCCACCCCTCCTGTCAGCATCAGGCGGGGTGGGGGAGGGAACCTGTGCGCACAAAGGCGCGCGGGCTGGATGCAGCCTGGCGAGTGGGACACAGAAGACACCCAAGAAGCCTGCAGAAACTAACTTCATCACCCCAGAAGGCGGCAGTGAGAGCCTGAGGGGAAGTGGGTCGGTCACGTGTCCTCTGTGCCTCAGTTTCCCTGTCTGTAAAATGGGGACACGATGGCACCTACTTCATACTGAGGATAAATATCTCTAACGTACTTAGAACAATTCCTGGTTCAGAGAAGGCACTGTGTAAATGGGTTTAAAGAAATCAGTGGGGAACCTCGTGGGTCCGAGTCCAGGCAGAGGGGCTGAGGAGCCCAGGGATGTCTCTGGACTGAGCAGCTCAGTGGGGCCTGGGCCAGTAGGAGGCATGGGGATGGATTTCCTGGGAGGGGACAGGGAGGTCATGGCTTCATTCTCCCCAGCTAGTGGCTGGAGCAGATCCCTAGAGAGCCCTTCAGCGAGGCCACCAGATCTGACAGCAGTGGGCAGCTCGGCCCGCCTGGTGCTCAGAGGCTGAGCCGCTGGGAGACCACCCAGCCCAGCCCCTTCTGGATCCAGGCTGGTGAGGGAATAAGCCTCCTCCTCCCCTTTACCCAAACGGGCCGGGTGTGCACGCGTGCTCCTGGGTCAGACCCCCAGGAAATGAGAAGGGGGGGAGGTCACTCCCTGAGGGTGAGTTAGGCAGTCAGGGTGAGGGGGCGAGTCCCCCCCCATCAGGACTTTGAGGTCCCATCCATGAGGACACTGCAACGCAGAGGGGCGGCCACAGTTCTTGACTAGGTGGCATGGCTGGTTGTTTTCGGTTCTGACTCCATCATTCCCCTTAACACACAATGGGCACCTACCCCGTGCCTGGTTTGGGGTATGCAGCTGAGCACACAGACTCAGTACCTGCCCTCAGGGGACTGACAGTCCAGGTAGCACACTGGACACGGTCATTGTCACTGCCAATAGGCCCCGAAGGAAAGGTGCAGGGTGCTTCAGAGCTGGATGGGGCCCCCGAGCTCCAGGGAGGTAAGGGCAGCCTCCCGTGGGGCCATCACGAGGTAGCGGTGGGGGTGAGTGGGGACTATCTGGGAGGCTGCGGCAAAACACAGCGCCCCTCTCAGTCTCCGCTCCCACATTTGTAAAGTGGGGTATCATGGCCAGGGTGCCACACAGGCTAGGGGGACCTCAGTGATGCCATCAGACCAAAGAAAAGGTCCTTTAAGAAATCCCTGCTGATTTACTCTGTCAGTTCCTCAAATGGGGAGCGGGTGCTGTGAAAGCCAAGAGGCACAGTCATACCTGGGGATCAGTGATCTATTCCCAGGACCCCAATAAACCAAGATCAAAGGCAGAATTCAAGGCTGTCAGACCCCTGACAGGCCTGTAGCCAAGTCACCTGGCCTTCTGTGGGTCCCCTGGACCAGAGTCCTCTCCTCTCACCACCTCCTGACTGAACCCACAGGCAGGGGGCTCCTCACCAGCAGGCTCTCACTAGTCCCGCTCAAACAAATCCCCCCAACTCATACGGACCACCCAGCCCAAATGCGGAGCTTCCATAAAGCCCCTTATTAAGAAATTAGTCAATTTCCTGCTAATTAAAATAAATAGTACTCCACATTAAAGGCCAATTAATTTTCGGAGCTGCCAGGGAACAAGAGCCTGGAAAATGTGCACCCCCAGCCCCCCTCCAGCCCCTCAGAAAAGGGCAGCCAGGCAGCGCCTGCAGGGAAGGGGTGGGAGGAGCCACAGATCACGCACTTCCAGGGGGTGAGGAGGAAGCCAGGACCAGTGGTGACTGGTGACCAGGCTGCAGCAGGAGGGGCTGCTGGGCGGGGCTTCCCGGTCCAAGGAACTGGGCTCGCTCAACCCCGGAGCTCTAGACTGTGTTTCTCCCAGGAAGCCTAGGACAGAAACCAAGTCTCCTGGGCCAACCCTACAATCAAAAAGCGAGCACTTTCTCCATAACAGGCATCCGTAGTTTGTGAAAAAGATGGGGTTCCAGGCTTGTGGTCACCAGGTCCTGCGCCCTTAAGTTCTTTCACTGAGCCCCACAGCGGCCCTGGGAGGGAAGGGCCAGTGTCCCCACTTTGCAGATGAGCAAGCTGAGGCCCAGAGCCCCAAGTCCCTCTCCCGTGGTCACAGCTTCTAGGAGCAGAGCAGGATGTTCCCCTGGTCTCCTCGCCTGTACCCAGATAACCCTGCAAGGGTTCCTTTTACAACATGGAGGATTTCACCACAGCTTAAAAAGGGAAGGGCCATTGCCATGTCCACATGAGAACACAGTTCGTCGGTTGTGTTTGTTCGAGGGGAGGCTCACCTGCTCCCTCGTCATAAGAAAGCTCCTTGAGAGTTTGGTGCAGGCCAGGAGGTCTACTCGGCACGGTACAATCGTGATCTCATGGAATCCTCAGCAGGGCATGAGGCTCAGAGAGGTTAGAGAACATGCCCGAGGTCACACAGCCTGCCCACAGCTTAGCCACGGTAATCTGCGGTCTTTAAGGTCCAAGTTTTTCCATTTCCTCAAGGTCAAAACCAAGGTCTATGGGTCTTCTCCTCTCCTGGGGGGCAGCCAGCTACAGAAAAGAACACTGGGTTTACCACGTGACCTTAAACACGCCCCTTTCCCTGGGGCGGGGGGGGGGCAGGGGGCTTCAGCTTGCTCAACTGCCAAATGAAAGGGCTGAACTCAATACTCCCTGGGACTCTATTCAACTGGAGCATCCTGCAGGGACCCTCAGTCTGGGGCAGATGAGCATCCAGCCCGACGGTAGCAATAGCCATCCCTCTGCTGGGACAGGGGCACCTGGCTGCCTCACAGCGAGCCCGACAGGGACACAGTGAGAGCAGTGGGGACAAGGGCCCAGCCACCAACTCTGGCTGTCCCCACACTGCAGACTGCTCACAAGGCAATGCCAGGGACATCCTCTCTGACCCCAGCAGCTCCTATAGGATCTGGGGATCTGCGGCCCACCTACCCCCTGCTCTCTGTTCCTCACCCGATCCCCAAGATCAACACTCTGCCCAGGCCAGGAGGAGAAGGCAGGGGAGGTATGCAGGGGAGGGGCTAGAAGTGTGGGGGCTGGGGGGGAGCAGATGGTGGGGGGCCCTTCTGACCCTCCATGGAGCCCCCATGCCTCCCCCTCCCGCTGAGCTCTGACTTAGAAACCCCAGCATTTCACAGAAGCTTCTCCCCCGGGAATCATCAGAGAAGCACTGAGGCGTCCTGTTTCTCCTTGATAAGGAAGGCGAGCGGGAGTGGGAGCCGTCTGTCTGCCGTGCTCGCTCCCTGCTTGGGGAAGGAGGGCTCCGAACATCCAGCCCACTCTAAGGAGCACCTGTGTGACAGGCACAGTGCTGGGCACCGAGGACAGGAAAACGGACCAGCCATGGCTCTTGTGCCTGAGAAGTCACCCTGAAGTAGGAGAATCAGACAGAAGGTAAACACGGACGCCACACCAGGACAACTGCCACTTGGCTCTGTGAGCACAGAACTCTGGAAGCGACTTGTCAGGAGGGTGGTTCCCAGAGCCACGATTGACCAGGGTCTGAAGGCAGCGTGGAGAGCAGAGGGCATTCCTGGCAGAGGGCGCGGCACGAGCAAAGGCCCTGTGGCACAAGTGAACAAGGTTTTCTGCAGGGGAGGGGGAGAAAGCAGCCTGGTATAGTCCAAGCGCAGTCATACGGGTGGAGCTGACGAGACAGGAGCGGCCAACTGGGGTTCAAGTGCTCAAGGCCTTCCGCCTCGTGCTCTGCCAAGTTTAGACGCAATAAAAGTAATCATGAGAGTAGCCACCCCACTACTGAAAGTTTACGGTGTGTCCAGCACCATGCTAAGCCTGCCTCAGGCACTAGGGCTCACTGAACCCGCCAACGAGCGCATCAGATGGCTACTGTTATCATCCCCGTTGACGGATAAGGAACTGAGGCCCAGAGAGGTCAGGAAAGCTGCTGGCGGTCACACAGCTGACAGTGGCCAGGCTGGTACTCGGACTCAGGTTCCTAACCCTGACCCAGCAGCATGTGCTGCCTCTAAGGGCTTTGGATTTCCTCTTAAGGGCACCGAGAGCCACGAAGAATTTTTTAAGGGAGGTGGGTAGCACAGTCTCAGTGCCCTGAACCCCTAAGTCAGGCTCGTGGAGACTTGGCACGTCCGTTTTCCGGGTCCACTGGCCATTCCAGGTTCCCCAGCCTGGATCTGTTCTTGTTTTCCTTCTGCTCTTTGCTGAATACCAAGGTTTGGCCTGAGTCTTCTGCCCCAGCCCACTGTCCCTAGGTTCCAGCCCTTGGGCTGTGGGGGCCCTCCCTTCCAGGGCCTCCACAGAACCCAGACTCCCCCTGCCCCCAGTCAGGGGGCTCAGCCCCTCTGGCCCTTCCTGGGGCCCCCACGTTGCCCACTCTTTTCCCTCTTGCCTGCCTTGCTCTGGGATAGCATCCAGGGGGTGTGCCTGGGATGTGACCTCCCAGTGAAGCTGAACGACCCTCCGAAGCCAGCAGAGGTGGCCTCCCCGTGGGGGCTGTAGCAGCCCTGTGCCCCTTTCTCAGCCTCCAGCTTCCTCAGCATTGTAGGCAGCACAAGACAGCAGGTGTGGGAGACCCCCCAGCATGTCCATTCTCTAACTACCCCACGGTACAGATGGAGAAGCTGAGGCCCGGACATGGAAGGTCCGCAGAGCAGCTGGGGACCCGGAATTCCTGTGCTCTTGCCACAGCTCCAAGATCCTGGTCTTTCATCGTTCCCGCCCCATACGTTTACTGAGCGCTGTGTGTTTTCACACAGGGCACATCACATTTGGTCCTCACGTAAGGCTAGAGCAGGCCGGGTTAAAACAGGAAGTCTGGGCTCTCCTGCTGTAGCTCCTTCTGCCGCTAAATAGGCAGAGTCCCACGTCAGCCTCTGTGCCTCACAGAGTGGTGGAGGCGGGCAGTAGGTCAATGACTTACCCAAGTTCATGTAGCAGGCCAGCCACGGTCACGAGGGTCTCCTGTCTGAGGTCCTTCCTGTTCTTCCATGTTAAGACTGGCAAAAGCCTTGGCTGACGCTCCCCTTCCTGTGTTCGTGGCAGGCATTACTAATTGATCACAGCACTCTCTCAGCCCAGATGCAGCCTCGGAATCCTTCTCAACACACGCTTCTCAATACAGCTTTCACCCACTGAGAGCTGGTGATCGAGGTGACACCTGTTCACCACTCTCCCCAGACTTCAGATCTAGTCTGATCTCGTCCCTGGCCAGGGCCCAGCACACGGTGCAGGTCACAGGAATAAACATTTGCTGAGTGAGGGAAGGAGCAAATGGTAGCCACTGAATGAACAGCACCGGCCAAAGCCAGTCACTCTAAACCTGCTTCCTCTGTAGTAACAATGGGACAATAACAATAAGAGTAATGTCCCAGCGACTGAGGTCTCCCGCGGCCTCCAAGGCATTTCAGCCGAGCTGAAGGACCACTCTGGGAGGTCACGTCCCCGGGGCCACACACCGCGTGACACAGTCAGGACCTGACCCTGCCTCCTGGCCCAGCACTCTGCCCCTGACCCCATCTCAGCTTGTTGTTTACCATCTGGGCCAGCTGGACTGGACCTGGGTCTCAACTGGGGACATCACGGGTGTCGAGGGCAGATCCCAGGGACTAGAGCGGCAGTGGGTTGATTAGGAGCTTCCTCACCCTACTTGAAATTTTAGAATCGCAGGGGAGAACACAGGGCACCCCCTTCTTTGTACATGTCGGCCGGGAGGGGAGGTCGTCTAGAGAGCTTGGCTGAGGTGGGTCTGCACAGTCCAGTCTCAGAGCCCCCAAGATGTCCTCTCTCCCAGCATCCTGTGAATGCATAGTTAGTTGTTTATTTAGTGCCTTTTTTAGAATGCGAAGCCCTTGGAGGGAGGGACCCCAGGCACCTAAGGTAAGATTTGGCTCAAGAGGGGTGCTCAGTAAACACTGGATGGATGGATGTAAGGGAAGGAGGACATGAGTGAATAAATGAGTGGATGGATGGATGGATGGATGGATGGATGGATGGATGGATGGATGACTGTCCCCTGCACTGGGAGGCATCCAGTGACACAGGCAGGGAGGAATAGAGGATGAACTCTGAGATGTGAGCAGGCAGGTCACCCCAAGGATCTCCCCCACCCCAGCATTTTCATTAGGACACATCTGCCGCACCTGGCCCCTTGGCCCCTGCCCCGGAAAGATATAGACGCCTCTGCCGGCTTTATTAAGGACCTATTAACCCGGTGTCTTTCAGACCTGGGTTACAGAAGCCAGCCCTGGGCAGGGCTGATGATGTTATCACCACAGACCTTGGTTTAGAGCCCCAGAGGGGCTCCAGTGGGGGCAGGGGGCTAGGAACCTAGGTCACAGCGAGGGCTTCAGGGCCACACAGGTCTGCCTGCTTTAATCCTAGTTCCTCTGCTAATTGGCTGTGTGGCCTTTGGCCGCTCACTTGCCTTCTCTGAGTTGCCGCTCCCTCACATGTAAAATGGGCTAATAACGTGCTTGTTTGAGAATTCACTGAGCGAACGCATTATATCACTCAGCACAGAGGAGACGCTTGCTATAACCAGTAACATCCCGAGGACCCTCTGGAGCCAGGCAGGGCGGAACACGCACCCCATCAGCCACCTGACCCTCTTGGGATAGGCAGGTGCAGTAACCCTCCCTAATTTATGAATGAGCAAACTGAGAATAACAGGGAGCTTAAGTCACACAGCCATACAGCCGGGAGGGGCCAGGGCCAGGATTCAGACGTAGGCACTGGACGTCACAACTGGGTAATTTCCTCCCTGGCTGCTGAGCAGGAACAAAGCCTGGGCCGGGTGGGTGGGGCTGGAGGGGGCCTCTTCCATCTCCAGTCGCCCACCCCCCTCAGCGCCTTGAGGTGACAGCACAGCAGAGCAGAGGGGGAGCTAGGATAATAACAGAGATTTACAGTTTCCAGCGCAATTAACTGCACCATCTGGATGCCACACGTCCACCTGGGTGTGTTAGGGACCCCAACCCTTCGGCATAAGTGGCAGGAAGGGACAAGGGGGATGGGAGAGCTGTCGGGGGGCTGCCAGGTTGGTGGCGGAGACTGCGTGGGGCCCACCTGGCTCTCCTCGAGCCCCCCCGTGTGCCCCTGAGATCTTTCACTAAGGGAGCTGGGTCCCTGCCAGTTTCCGAAGAGTCCCGAATGGTTGAACCCAAGGATGCAAATGCAGAGGGGGTCGTGGCCTGAGCCAGGAAAAGGTCAGAGGACACACAGTAAGAGCAGCAGGGACACAAACCCAATGCCTGTTTTCAGGGGTGCACGACGGTCCAGGACTCGACCACCTTGTGGTCTGTGCCACCTTCCAGCCTTGTGATCCCCCGCAAGTGGCTTCACCCGTCTGAGGCCCTGTCTTCTCACCTGTGAAATCAGGATCATCATGGTACGTATCATGGTCGTCCTCAGGAGGGCTGTTTTGAAGGCTAAACTGGGTAAGGAAATGTACAGACCCCGGTGTAATGCCTGGCACAGAGTAATTCACAACCAGTGGTTGTTGAGATTAGTGTCCCATTTACCAGAGGGGAAAACCGAGGCCCAAAGAAGGTAAGTGACCTGCCTCGGGCTGTACTGTGGGTTGGTGGCGGAGCCTGTGACAAAGATGGACCTACCCTGAGATAGAGCCAAGCCCAGAGTCTCGGGCCTCCAAGGTGGCAACCCTGGGTCACGCCAGGGAGAGTGGTAAACCCCTTCCAGCTCCAGTAACAGCTGCCCTGTTCTGAGTACCTACTCCATGCCAGCTGCTGCTAAGAGCTTTGATACATCACTTCGAGGAATGATCACAACGTGGGAGGTGGGCATTGCACTGTCCCTATCATCCAGGTGCTCAAGCTTCAGGGGGGCCCCAGCTGGGATTCATCACCGGGACACTCTGGTTCTGAAGCCCTGGTTCTCGGCACCAGCTACTGTCCTTGGGCAGAGGGGGGGTCTTCTCTTCACTGTAGCAACTGCTCTCAGCTTCTAACTGTGTCTTCATTTCCTCCTAAAAGAAGGAGAGGGCTAATTATGATGCCAAGTCAGCCATGGTGGACCTGAAGTCTTCTGGACATCAGATAGAAGCTTCCCCTTCAGGGCCGAGGACCCTCTTCCACATGTGGAAAGGGGGCGGGAGGAGGGAGGAAGGAACATCACCCCATGCCCCCCAATCTCTCCTTAGCTCTGTGGAGTCCGAGTGGCCAGATCCCCTCAGCCACCAGGAGGCGGGGAGCGTTGGCGGGGGGGGGACCAGGCTGGCTGGGGGCAGGGGGAGAGGAGAGCAGTAGGAGGTTTGAAGCAGCTTCCTCACACACTGTCCCCCTTCCTCACACACTGGCTCCCTACATTCCCATCTGGTCAGCCTGGATGCTGCAAGTCTGAGTCCACCCCATACAAAAACAAAAGCGCGCCGTTTCCATTAGAGAAAACCCCAGAGACATGGGCTGCGCTGCTTGCCTTCCCTCTTGGCCAGTGTGACCACGGCAGGGGCCAGGAAAATGACAGCTGTCCTGCCCAGGGGAGAGAGGTCCCAAAGTCCTTGGCCCCAGGCCCGTTCCGGGCCATACCCTGGGGACCAGCCCCGAGGGCCAGGGGCCCACTTACACCCCCCTGCCTTCGAAGAGCGGTGCCAGATGGGGAGGCTCTGGCTCATGGCCTCTGCCCCAGCTCCGCAGGCCCCGTGACCTGTCCTCCTGGGATCCCCTGGCCTGTCCATCTGAGATGACCCTTCCCCCTTCCCCGCAGAAACCCAGACCTCTGACCCTTATTAAAAACAAACCAAAGTCTGGAAAGAAAAAAATCCTCCACAAACAGCCTCAGAGATGATCGTGTGTCTGCCCCAACACACACACACACACACACACACACACACACACACGCATGCACACACACACGCATGTACACACCAGCCTCAGACGTGCGCGGCTGCAGCCAGCTTTCGCGTAAACAAGTTGTTGGAGAGTGCTTTTGTTTATGAAACATTTAGGTTTCCCTCAACTTCCTTGGGGGGGAGGGGGTGGACTGTCTCCTAGTTTTCCGGCGACCAGGAAACGGAGACGAAGCCTGGGGTTTGGCGGGATTTCATTTCTCCCTCTGTGCTCTCTGCCGGGTACAATCTGGGGAAGGGCACGCGAAAAGAAAAGGAGGGGGGGGGGCCCTGGGCATCCCCTGGGAGAAGTCCCCCACCCCCACGGGGAGGTCAGGCTCAGAGAGGGCGGCAGGCAGGCCCGGGCTCCCCTCGGCGACCCGGAGGACGCGGCCCAGCGCTCAGAAAACATCGGGGACGCTCAGTGATGCGTCCCTGCCCCCTCGGCTCCCGCTTCCAGCGCCGGGAAACCGCCGAATCGGCCAGGAACAAAGGCGGGGCTGCCTCCCAAAGGCGTACAACAAACAGTTTTGCTTTTTTTTTTTTTTTTTCTTTTCGCACCCTAGCGTACGGCCCAGCAGCTTTGGGGTCCGGGCGGCGCCGGGGCTGCGGCTGGTGCCGCCGC